TTTTTCAGTCTTACTGTGGCTAAGAATCAAAGAACTTTCAGGATAGCCTAGTGAAACATTAAATTGAAAATACCTTACAGCTTCCCTGTAGTATTTGATTGCAGCTGTTTGGTTGCCTTTATCAGCCAAGTTTTTGCCAACATTGTAGTGCACCTGAAAATACAGATAAAAATTATATCCATATGTTCCCGATAATAAGATATATTGTAGGACTAAATTGCTAGCATTTCTGGCTGCAAAATCAGAATCCACTTCCTTCCATGCTGAACCTTTTCATGGCTGCTTTTCTTTTTTCATGCCTCTAAGACTTCTTCTCCCCATGCTAGCAATCAGGCCTGAGTAAAGTTGCAATTGATTCCTGAGATATGGACTCTATCATAAAAAGGGCAATAAAAGTCTGAGAAAGAAATGGACAAAGTTGGGATATTTATACCAGCTACTTTGCTTCCTGATATTGCAATGAAGTCATACCACTCTGAGATAATTCTAAAAGGGATAGAGGAAAATAGAGATACGTTAATAGGAAGCTATTTTCGATCCTGATTAACAGCTAGATTGTACCATGTTGGCATGGCCCATTTATGAAGTGCATCTTACTGCTTCCATGTAAGCAGCCAGTCAGCTCCATTGGCCACTGCACAAGAGACTCAGGGACCAGCTTCCTTGCCACCCATGTGTCCTCTCAGGTGAACAAGGACAGAGTCATCCCTGCCTTCTAAAAGTTGCAATTCTGCTTAGTCCAAATGTTTGCTTCTCAAGGAGAGCTCCTGATACTGTACGCTATTCCACTGTGCACCCAGGTAATTAGACTATCGTATTTTAAATTCTGCCTTCAGAAACAAAAAAACACCTTAAATGGGAATATGCTCTCACAGGCTCCAGAAGAGCATTTTTATTTCCTATTTAAACATTTACAACCTGATGTAACATTTCATTATCAAATCAATATTAAAGCAAGATGTTAACTTGAAACGATCTGTTATATTATGCCCACACTCCTTCACTAGTTTTAACAGGTAATTATCTTCTATTAATTAATTCCTTACAGCTGTTTAACAGCATAGTGTTCTCAAAGAGGTGGGTGATTGGAAAGGTAATCTAAAATGCACTGTAATATTTTCGAGATACTGTAGAGTAGAACCTCAGCTAAGATAAGCTAGCATGGCTCCACTGAAGCTAATGAGCCATCCCAATTTATACTACCAAAGATCTGACCCTGTATATTTGTCTTCACATAATATCATAGAAAGAATGGTTACTTACCTCGTAACTGTGATTCTTCAAGATGTGTTGCTCATGTCCATTCCAATATAGGTGTGAGTGTGCAGCGTGCACACGCTGTCAGAGACTTTTCCCTCAGCAGTATCCCTAGGGCCAGCAGGGAGCCCCCTGGAGTAGTGCCGATATATCAGCCCATATATCCCCCTGCTGGCCCCCTCACCTACTCTGTTCCTTCTTACCAGCATATTCCAGATAAAGTCCGGTGGGCATGGATTTGGAATGGATATGAGCAACACATCTTGAAGAATCACAGTTACGAGGTAAGTAACCGTTCTTTCTTCTTCGAGTGATTGCTCATGTGCAGTCCAATATAGGGGACTCCAAAGTAGAACCTAACTAGGCGGCGGGCCGGATGTCGAAACCACGGAGGAGTTAAGGACCGCCCTACCTAGGGCAGCATCCTCGCTGGCCTGATGGGACAGCACATAATGGTTGGCAAACGTGTGGACCGAGGACTATGTGGCAGCCCTACAGATATCCAGGATGGGAACCTGCACTGCAAAAGCGTTGGAAGCTGCCACAGCTCTCGTGGAGTGCGCTCTAAAGATCGGGGCTGAAAAACCCGCTAGAGAGTAGCACTCCCTGATACAGGCGGTTGTCTATGAGGCGATCTGCTGAGCGGATACAGGTTAGCCTCTCATGCGTTCTGCGATGGCTACAAAAAGTTGTGATTTTCAGAACAGTTTGGTCCTGTCTAAATAAAAGGCTAACACCCTATGGACATCTAACATGAGTAAAGCTTGTTCTTTCCCAGACGCATGCGGTTTCGGGAAAAAAAAACTGGTAAAAAACATCCTGGGAAGTGTGGAATGCAGAAACTACCTCGGCAAAAAAGCTGGATGATGGCAGAGCTGGACCTTGTCTTTAAAAAATATTGTGTAAGGGGGATCTGACGTCAACACCCTAAGCTTAGACACCCGCCTCGCGGATGTGATTGCCACTAGGAGGGACACCTTATATGATAGGTGAAGGATGCGTACGTGGCTAGCGGTTCGAACGGGAGCCCCATACGTTTGGATAGTACCAGGTTTAGGTCCCACTGGGGGACGGGTTGCCGGACATGAGGATAGAATCTGTCCATTCCCTTTAGGAACCTGTTGACCATAGGGTTGGCAAATAGCATTTTCCCCCCTTCCCCTAGGTGGAAGGCCAAAATGACCAATAAGTGGACCTTAATAGAAGAGGAAAAGAGATGCTGGAGCCAAAGGTCCAACAGGTAATCCAGGATCAAGGGGACTAGTGCCCACCTCGGGTGTACCCCCTTCTAAGAAGCCCAACAGCAAAACTGTTTCCATTTAGCGAGGTACGTAGTTCTAGTGGAAGGTTTTCTGCTACCCAGAAGGACTTGGACTTGTTGAGAGCACTGGAGATCCTCAGTCACTAACCATGGAGCTTCCATGCTGTCAAGTGGAGGGACTACAGGTCTGGGTGGTGAAGCCTGCCCGAGTCCTGGGATATTAGGTCTGGGACTAGTGGGAGGATTACAGGCCTTTCGCATGAGAGGTTGAGGAGGGTCGAAAACCAATGCCATCTGGGCCATGCTGGGGCGATTAGAATTAATGATGCCCTGAATTCCTGTACCTTCAACAGTATCCTGTGAACTAGTGGGAAAGGCAAGAAGGCATACAGCAGGCCTTGCGGCCAGTAGAGGAGAAGAGCATCCCCTAGGGACTCCCTTTCCTATCCCATGAGGGAGCAGTAAAGGGGGCACTTCATGTTCTGCCCTGTGGCGAACAGATCCAGATGGGGAAATCCCCACACACAGAAGATGGATTGGGCAATGTCCCAACGCAGGGACCACTCGTGGCTCACAAACGATCTGCTCAATCTGTCCCCCAGGACGTTCTGTGAGCCCGGGAGGTACGAAGCCATCGGGTGGCTATCCGTCCCAATGCAGAGTTCCCATAGGCTGATCGCCTCTGAACACAGGCAAGGTGAACAAGCTTGTTTATATAGGCCACCCTGCTTGTTTATATAGGCCACCGCTGTCGTGTTGTCTGACAGGATGAGGAGAGTCTTGCCCCTCAGGTGGGGAATGAAAACTGCACAAGCCAGCCCAACCATCCTGACTTCCTGACGTTGATATGCAGGGAGATTTCGTGGGGGGACCATGTACCTTGATTGTGCAGCTCTCCCAGGTGGGCTCTCCAACTCGTGTCTGATGCGTCTGTGACCAGTCGGATAGACAGGACTGGTTGGGAGAATGGGACTCCTGCACAGACTTTCGCTCGATAGGTCCACCACTCCAGTGCAAGGAAGACAAGAGCGGGGATGGTCAACACTCTGTCCCAGGAGTGGACAGCCAGGTTGGGGACTCGCGATAGCCACGTCTGAAGCTGGCGCATGCGCAGCCTGGCGTGTTGCACTACATAAGTGCAAGCGGCCATGAGGCCCAATAGATGCATACAAGCCCGAGCACTGGGAAGTTCTGGAGCGACCTGACTACTGACTGTAGCATGTGAAAGCGGGATCTGGGTAGAGAAGCTCTCTGAGACCGGGAATCCAGGGTCGCACCCACGAATTCTATTGTCTGGGTAGGAGTTAAGGTGGATTTGTCCAGGTTTAAAAGAAGGCCTAGTTCTTGAAAAAGTTCGCGGACTATGGCAATGTGGTCTCTCACCTGGGTTTCCGACTCCCCTCAGAAGCCAATTGTCCAAATAAGGGAATACTTTGACTCCCCTTTTCCTGAGCTCAGCAGCCACCACCACCATAAATTTTGTGAAGACTCAGGGGGCCGTAGAAATACAAAAGGGGAAGGCTGTGAATTGGTAGTGGTCCTGGCCCACAATGAATCACAGGAACCTTCGGTGGAAGGGGGTGACTGAAACATGAAAATAAGTGTCTTTTAAGTCAAGGGCAGTGTACCAGTCTCCAAGGGGTAGGGAAGGAACGATGGACGCCAGAGTCACCATTTTGAATTTTGTCTTGACAATTAAGAGATTTAGAGCTCTGAGGTCTAGGATTGGGGAAAGGCCCCCTTTTGCTTTTGGAACCAGAAAATAGTGGGAATAAAATCCTCTGTTTAGAAAACTGAGAACTTGTTCTACCGCCCCCAAGGTGAGAAGGTGGCAAGACTCCTCTTGTAACAGAGCCTCGTGAGTGGGGTCCCTGAAAAGGGAACAGGTAGGGGGTTGGGAAGGAGGGGGCAAGTGGAAGGGAATTACATAGCCTGTTTCTACTATCTCCAGAACTCATCGGTCTGAAGTAACAGACTGCCAGGTCTGGAGGAAACTGGATAAATGGTCCCGGATGGGTAACAGGGAGACTGGTAAGAAGCCCTCAGGGGTCCCGTCAAAAGCCCTGTCGGAGCCCAGGGGGCTTATTGAGGGGGTCTCTGGTTAGAATTCGAGGCTGGGCAAGAGTGGCGCCTATGGTTTCTGTCATTATTACCCCTGCCCCTACAATGGGTAAAATCGGGGCGTGGGCCCTGTGGAGGCATTCTAGGGGCATTCCTATTAGTATATGAATGCCTCTGGTTGGCAGGCATGTGAAGGCCCAATGACTTTAATGTGGCTCTTGTGTCCTTCAGGTCATGGAGCCTCTGGTCAGTTTGCTCAGAAAAGAGTGATGTGCCTTCGAAAGGGAGGTCCTGCAAGGTGTTTTGGACTTCCGGCAGCACTCTGGAGCCCTGGAGACACAAACTACGATGCAAGATCGCTCCGGTGGCCATGACTCGAGAAGCCACATCAGCCACATTGAGTGCTGCTTGTAGCACCATTTGAGAAATTATTCTCCCCTCCTCCTGAAGGGCCCTATATTCCGCACGGGAGTCTCTAGGAAGCAAGTCTGTCCATTGATGCCCAGGTGTTGTAAGCATATCTGGACAGAAAAACTTGTTGGTTGGCAATTCGGTACTGGATGCCACCAGATGC